AAAATGTCAGCTTTCCTGCTCCTGTGATGCTGCCTGGCCTGCTGTGTTCCTCCAGATCCACACTGTGTTATCTCCGACTCCAGCATCAGCAGCGCTTACCATCTATGACATGTTGTTCCTTCAGTTTGTGTTGTGAGTCGCTGGAGCACTGCAACATGCCGAGGACAGACAAGTGAGCATACAAGCAGGGCACTGTGTTAAAATGACAGGCTACAGGAAGGTCAAGGTCATGTTTACGCATGGACCGGAGGTGTTCTGCAAAGTGGTCACCCAGTCTGCGTTTGGTTTCTCCAATATACAGTAGACCACTTTGGGTGCAGTGAATACAATACACAGGATTGGAGGAGGTACAGGTGAAATGCTGCTTCACCTGGAAAGGCTGTTTAGGCCCTTGGATGGTGAGCAGGGAGGAGGTGAAGGGGCAGGTGTTGCACCTTCTGTGGTCACATGGAAAGATGCCATAGGAAGTGGGGATAATGGTGGTGCTTAAGGAATAGACTGGGATGTCCCAGAGGAAATGGTGCCTGCAAAATGCAGATGGGGGGTGAAGGTAGGATGTATTGGTGGTGGCTTTCTGCTGGAGTTGTCTGAAATGGCAGAGATTGATTCTTTGAGTGCAGAGGCTGGTGGGATGAAAAGTGAGGACAAGGGGGTCCTAATTACATTGTTGTGAGTGATGGGAAGGGCAAGGGCAGAAGCACAGGTGATAGGTTGGATGGGGTTGAGGGCCCTATCAACCAAAGTGGGCAGGAAACCATGGCTAAGGAAGAAGGAAGCCAGGTTAGCAGCACTGTTTTGGAAGGTGACATTGTCTGAACAGATACAATGTAGGCGAAGGAACTGGGAGAATGGGGTGGAATCCTTGCAGGACATGGGATGTGAAGAGCTATCGTGAAGGTAGCTGTGGGAATCAGTGGCTTTGTAGTGGATGGCAGTGGACCGTTTATTTCCCAAAATGGAGACGGAGAGGTCAAGAAAAGGACAAGAAGTGTTAGAGATGGATGATGTGAAAGTTGTAGAGGGGAGATTGGAAGTAAAATAAATGAATTTTATAAGGTCCAGGTGGGAGCATGAAGTAGCACCAAAACAGTTGTCAATGTACTGAATAAACACTTGTGGGAGGGGGCCAGTGTAGGACTGCAACAAGGATTGTTCCATGTAACCCATAAACAGGCAGGCATAACTGGGATCAATGTGGGTGCCCATAACCACTCCTTTAACTTGGCAGAAGTGAGATGAATTAAAGGAGAAATTGTTCAGTGAGAGAACAAGTTTAGCCAGGTGGAGAAGATTTAGGATTTTTCAGGCCTCTGGTTGAGGAAGAAGCCGAGAGCTCTCAGACCATCCTTGGGGGGGGTGTGGGAAGTGTGGGGGGGCAGTGGTATAGAGGGATTGGACATTCATTATTGCAAGTAGCTCTGCCTTATCCTTTGCACTGATGTACTGAATTCTCCCTTAATTGAGGATGAGGATATCTGTGGAGCTTCTTCCTCCAGACATTTGTTTAGTTGTCCACCACTATTCACGACTGGATGTGGCAGGACTGCACGGTATACATGCCATCCATTGATTGTGGAATCATTTAGCTCTGTCTATCATTTACTCCTTAGGTTGTCAGGGGTGAAAGTAGTCCTGTGTTGTAGCTTCGCTAGAATACTACCTCATTATTAGGTATGCCTGTTACTGCTTCTGACATGGCCTCTTACATTCTTAATGGAACCAAGGATGACCTTTAGCTTAATGGTAATAGTAGAGTGTGGAATATGCCAGGCTATGACATTGTAGATTCTGTTTATGTGAAATTTTGCTGTTACTGATGGCCCACAACATCTCATGGATTCCCGGTCTTGAGTTGCTAAATACATACAAATTCAGAACCTTTTAGCACCTAGTGAAAACTATCCAGGGAAAAGGATAAATTTAAGTCCAAGGGCTTGGTGCAGTGTTAGTGTCCCTACCTCAGTGTCAGAAGTTCCTGGTTCAAGTCCCTCCTGCCGAAGAGGTATGCAATAACATATCTGAATGAGTTGATTAAAAATATCCACCCTTAACTCCAAGTTATATTTTGCCAATCTTAAATGTTGAAAGGTTATTAATCTGCATAAATACGTGTTGAACTCTCCACTTAATTATTGTTTCAGTAAACATGTGTAGGGACAAACTGTAGACCCCACAGAGTTAAGGGGAGCCTTAAGAAAAGCTTAAAATCGAACATCGACAGGAGTTGATTGTATCAACATCAAACCAGGGTTCGAGAAGTCTAATTACCTCAAATGTGATTGCTAGGGACTGTTAGTATGACATAACATTATTAATCCTCAGAGACTGAGTCAGAAGTCACATGGCACTAGGTTATAGTCCAACAGGTTTATTTGAAATTACAAGTTTCACCTGATGAAGGAGCAGTGCTTCAAAAGCTTGTGATTTCAAACAAACCCTATGATGTGGTGTTGTGTTACTTCTGACTTTGTCTACCCCAGTCCAACACCGGCACCTCCATATCAGAAACTGAGAAAGAAAAGCTTACACAGCATTTCCACAAGTCTTTTGCATGAGACTGCATTTTCCAAAAAGTAATTGAGAGAAGAAAGAAACATTCTAATAATGGAAAAGACTTTTCTTATATTGAAATATTCAGAGCTCACAGATCACTGTGCATTGTTTCCTGAGGAAAACATTCTGCTGTAGTTGATAAGTGATGATCTTACATTTGGGAAACAGGAAACGGAAATTTTCATTCACATTTACCGAAGGCTATTGTGGAAAAGCAAGCCCTCATTAAGACAGAGATCAGCCACTAATATATACGATCTTTTGAAGAAGGAATTAGAAATTATTGAGAACTAAAATACTAACAGGTAATTCAAAATGTCTGTTATTGTCCATTTTTTTGTGTAGCCTGCAGATAATGATTTGCAGGTACCCATGTACCACCTCCCCTATAAATTTTGAGTCCAGAAGTTTTCATTATTATTGATGTTGGGTGAATTACTCCATCCTGATAGAGTTCTTGAAATGTTTTTGTCTGAAGAGGAGCAGCCTCAGGCTGAAGCTGCCAATAGAAAGAGAAATTCCTCCTCATTCCTTCATCTTCAGAACTGTCCACAAGCTGTTCTTTGTTCTTCTTTTCATCTACTCACATTTTTCTCTGGCTCAGCATGCCACAGATGAGAAACAAAAGGGTGAATTTTAGTTTATCACCTTCCTCTTCAAGGTGTTGTGATAACTGAAGTACTGGACATATATCTTTTCAATGATTTTCCCTATATTGTTCTCCACTGCTGTTATGTTCATGTCAGCACAAAGATCAAGCCCAGGAACCAGCTGTGATGAGAAACTGCCATCACACTGCACCAATGCAATCACTTTCCAAGAGAAAGATAGCCCTATACATCTCCCAAGAGGACCAAGAATATTATTCAGTCCTAAACGAGGGTAATACCCGAAACGTTGCCTGCCCCTTTCCTCTAGATGCTGCCTGGCTTGCTGTGTTCTTCCAGCCTCCTGTTTGTCTACCTTGTAACAGTCAGAAACTGACACAGAGCTAAAGCAAGGGACTATTCACTTCGAGATGTTTACTGGTGATAAAAACAGAAAATTTTAGATTCCTGCACAACAAACAGAGAAACCTAAAAATGGAAAATACTGGAAATAAACTATGGGTCCAGCTGCATCTGTCATTTGAATGAGTTCCGAAGAAAAGTCATACTGGACTCGAAACATTAACTCCGTTTTCTCTCCAGAGATGGTGTCAGTCCTTGTTGAGATTCTCCAGCACATTGTTTTATTTCAGATTTCCAGCATCTGCTGTACTTTGCCAGTAACATCCTGAGAAGAGGCAGTCTGGAACTTTGGTTGGCTCTACAGGGGTAGGGGAGACTCCTCAATTCTGCAACAAGATTCCACCCATTAACTCATGTTTCTTTCTCCACAGACGCTGCCAGATCTGCTGAGAATTTTAATCATTGTCTGCCTTTATTTCAAAATTCCCACCATATGTAGTATTTTGCTTCTTCTGAAACTTTGACTTACCTGACACACTGCTTGTTCTTGGAATCACTTCTAAAATTACTGGAATCTTTGCATCAATGTAAATGAAGGAGAAGGGAACTGGGTTGGATATCCCAGCAGCAATCACTGAGATGTTGTACATTCCAACTGGGGCCTGCCAGGCGAACAGAAACAAATTCATAATTATTTTTCACTAGTGCTTTTCATAGGCATTCAGAATGCAATGAATGCTTCAATGAGCCTTCACAAAAGGGTGAATAATTTGAACTATCACCCTGAAGGACTGAACTGAGATTAAAATTTATATGCAGGTTTTGCCTGAGAAAATGAGCCTAGTATGAGCACAGACATCGAATTCGCAATTAGTGCAGCGTGCATGATTCAGCTATTTGATCATTTGTAAGTCATTTGGCTTTATAAATAGTTTGCCATGTTTCAAGCAGATTCTTTGATTCCCTTATCATAAATGTGTATTTATTTTAAGCATGCTATATATTTTATAGACGGTGTGTTGAAGTAGTGTTAATGGCCAACAGAAAGCTTGTTTAGATTTGTTATTTATAACTGAATTATTTCCCTTTAGAGTTGTCTCATTTTCTACCACACTCGGTCACCATTGCAATCATTTTATATTTTTAAAGCCTATTTGTAGTTCCAGTCTACAAGTAGACACTGCAAAGAACACATTTTGCTTTCAAAGAAAATTATCCATGTCATCATGTCATTTTGTTACAAACAAATTCTGTATTTAACTAGCACAAAAAAACTTCATAAAACATAATAATCTTCAAATTTTACATAGTGACTCCCAATGTCTAAATATCTGGATAAAGTTCTGTAATTCTCCATTGGGAAGGAGATGCAAAACCTTTTAAATTAAAATAAATAGAGATACTTTCTGTGTCAAGATATCCTTGACATCATATGAATCAGTTAAATGGTTAATTTTTCACTTGCACTAATTTCAAGGCTATTCATTACATATGAGAATGTAGATTTTGGCAGCAACAAGAGATATGTGTAATTTGCATGTTAAAACCATCCAGAAATATTGCGATGTTCATGCATCTCCTAATTTCAGGGGAGTGCTCCTGGAAGGAGCATGAATTATCACAGCACCCCCACAGACTAAACATTCTCATGACTAAACACTTCCAAGACTGAATTGCCACAACACAAGATGCCTTGAAATCCACTTACCGCTGGAGTACTGCATTTCATCTTGACAGGACTTTCTGTAAGTTCAAGGCAGGTCTTCCCTCCAATTAAAACCGTTGAATTAGGAACAAATCCATAGCCAGATATGGTCAGAATTGTCCCTCCTGAACACGGATATAAATTGCAATCAAGAAGATCACAAACTTAAAGACCAAAACACAAATTAAAGGCCGATGGAGATTCACGTATAAAGAAGAAAAATGAGGATCAGGACAAGAGTATTCAGCTCCTCAAGCCTGTTCTATCATTCCACTTGATCCTGGGTGACCTGCACCTCAACTGTCATTGGCTGTCATTGCTCCTATCCGTCTCCACCCAATAGAAATCCATTAATCTCTCCCAAAAACTGCATAATTCCCAGCCTCATTACCTTTTCAGGGCTAAGTGTTCCATATTCCCACAGCCCTTTGTATGAAGTAGTGTTTCGGGACATCACCCTGAACGACCTGACTCTAAGTTTAAGACTGTGTCTCCACTGTCCCCTAGCATACAGTCTTTTAGGAAGTGAAATGGCTTCATTTAGACATTAAACCCACATAATTTCATCTGATTGAGAATGATAAAACTGGATTTTAAGGAAGTGTTTGACAAAGTTCCATCTAAAAGGCTGGTTAACAAAATTGAGGCTGACGGAGTAGAAGAATCAGGACCTAATCAAATAAAAGAAAGGCTAAGAACAGAAAATAACAAATCTGGTAAATGGTTTATTTTTGGATTGAAGGATGGTCCACAATGGTGATCCCCAAGGATCTGTGCAATACTACTGCTTTTTAGCCTCTATATTAATGATATGGATTTAGAAAAAAGGGATGGAATTTAAAAGTTTGTTGATAAAACTTGGTAGTGAGGCAAACAGTACGAATAAAACAAATTGCTTGCAACTTGACATTTTGATGCATTTTGGCATAAAGATGTGGAGGTGGACCAATCACCTTCTTTGACAGTCCCTCAAAATCAAGAATGGTTTCCACTCCACTTCAAATATTTCTGAAATGGCTAGTAAATTCAGAACAAAATCTGCAGATTCTGCCACATATGGTGCTTGAAAAATGGGAAAGGTTGTTTGGAGGTTTTGCCTGATGCCTCAACTTCCCTTCTGCATGTTCCTGATTATGTCTTTCCAGGTGTTTGTTGCCTCCTGAGGTAAGCCATCAATTGGTTGGTCACAAGCAAAGGACTTGCAGGAGTCTGTGGGAATAGTTGACGTCTTCATGGATCCTTTGAGGTCATCCTGAAAATGTTTTCATTGTTTCCTGCTGCAACCAAGCCTAGAGTGGAGCATTTGCTTTAGGAGTCTGGTGTTGGGCAAGTATCGTGAGAGACAGGTTCCATCCAGTGGAAGTGCTTGTGAGAGATTAGCACCTCAGTGCTGAGCATGTTGGCTTGGGAGCCAATACCATCATTCAATTGTGTTCCTTGCAATTGCAATTGAATCGGAGGATATTGTGAAAGCACTGCTTTCAGAAACTGGATCGATACTTGATGGAAATAAAGTTTGAGGACCACCGGGACTGAGTAGGACTGACTGGATTGCTCCATATACAGCCAACATGGACTTGGTGGGAGGAAAAGGGGAAGGTGATGTTGCAGTGATAGTGGGCAGTGAAGAAGGTTACCTAAGACTACAAAAAGATCTGGATCAATTGAGTCAATGGGCTGAAGAGTAGCAAATGGAGTTTAATTTGGATAAATGCAAGGTCTTGCATTTTGGTAAAACAAATAACAGCAGGATTTATAATTAAAAGTACAGCCTTGGGTGGTGCTGTCAAACAGAGAGACCTAGAAGTCCAGGTACATAATTCTTTGAAGTTTGCGCACACTTGTCTTCCTTGCTCAGACCTTTGAGTATTGGAGTTGGGACTTTATGTTGAGATTATACAAGGTGTTGGTGTGGCCTCTTCTGGTGTACTATGTCCAGTTCTGGTCATTCTGTTATAGGAAGGATATTATTAAGTAGAGATGGTTCAGAAGAGATTGACTGGAATGATGTTGGGAATGGAAGCCCTGAGTCATAAAGGAGAGGCTGCACAGGCTGAGATTTTGTTCACTGGAGGTTAGGAGGTTGAGGGGGAACGTTATAAAATCACGAGGGGTACAGATAAGGTGAATGGCTGATGTCTTTTCCTTAGGGTGGGGGTTTTCACGACTAGGGAGCACATTTTTAAGGTGAGAGAAGAAAGATTTAAAAATGACATGGGGGCAATTTTTGTACACAGAGAGTGATTCATGTGTGGAATGAACTTCCAGAGAAGTGGTGGATGTGGGTTCAGTTATAGTGTTTAAAAGACATGTAGATAAGTACATGAACAAAAAATGTTTGAAGTGATATGAGCCAAGCGCAGGCAGGTGGGACTAGATCAGTTTGGGATTATGGTCGGCATGGACTGGTTGGACCGAAGGGTCTGTTTCCATGCTGTATGATTCCATGAATATGACTCACAATATTAAAGTGAAACAAAACTCCTTCACAGCAACTCTACAAGTGCAGAGGAAATAAACTGTAAAACATTCATATTTTGCAATGTGGGAGTGGGTCCTGTTTGATAATTATTTACTCTCTATATGCTGTTGAAAGGGCAGTATCAATAAAAGTAAAAACAAATTCATGCCTGAGAAATCTAACATCCTATACCAAAGCATCTGGCAAAATGTATTTTAAACTCTTTTTATCACCTGCTATGGCTTGACAGAAAGTCAGAAGAAATAACAGTAACAGCTTGCAGCCTGTTATATAATCATAGAGATAAATAGCACGGAAGCCAACTCTTCAGTCCAAACCATCCATGCTGACCAGATATCCTAAATAAATCTAGACCCATTTACCAGCATTTGGCCCATATCCCTCGAAACCCTTCCTATTCATATACCCATCCAGATGCCTTTTAATTGTTGTAATTATACCAGCTTCTACCACTTCCTCTGGCAGTTCAATGTTGTCCCTTAGGTCCCTCTCAAATCTTTCTTCTGTCACCTTTAACTTTTAGTTTTGGACTCCCCTGGAGAAGAGACCTTGACTATACACTCTATCCATGCTTCTCATGATTTTATAAACTTCTATAAGGTCATGCCTCAGCCTTTGATGTTCCACAGAAAATAGCCCCAGACAATTGCTCAAACAGTCCAACCCTGGCGACATCCTTGTAAATCTTTTCTGAGCTCTTTCAAGCTTAACAACGTCTTTCATATAGGACAGAGATGGGAACTGAACACAATATTCTAAAAGTGGCCTAACCAATGTCCTGTACAGTCGCAACATGACCTCCCAAATCCTGTACTCAATGCACTGACCAATAAAGTGGAGTGTACTAAATGCCTTCTTCACTACCCTGTGTACCTACGATTCCACCTCTGTATGGTAAATCATTAATGCAGCGTTTAAAAAATATGCTGGGTAACATTTAATCATTGATCAACTCTTAGCACAGCAATAGTTTCATGCAACTTTTACTGAAAGTTTGTTAGATCACCCAGGGCTCTAATCTTGCTGCTTTCCGTACCCTGAAGTAGGAACAAATATAGGTGATCATCATTTGTCCAAACTTATGTTGTCCATAAATTTACGGAGTTAAAAATACCTTAAAAATCCTTTTTTATACCAAATAATATCCATTATTATAAACTGCAGAAGCTGTTTGATTATACTTACCATGGCTAGACACATTTCTTCTTATCCAAAATAAGTACAATGTACAAGATACTCTGAACTGTTAGAGTGACATTAATACAAATGATTATTACTCTGACAGAAATTCCATCTTAATCATGAATGATTTAATTTCTGGTCAATGAAATTGAAAGAGAACATCCTCATGTATAATGGTGATTTATATATCCGCTCATTTATTCTATAATCAGTACCTTCAGTACTGCCCGTAGATGGATATATACTTGTCGCCTCAAACTGAAAGGTAAATGTGTATGTCTGGTTGCTGGAATAGTTTGCAAAGCCAAGCCCAGCGATGTAAACAATGAGGGGAGATGATGTATTACTGGCAACCGCAATTGTACAGGTTATTTCGGTATCTGAAGAGAAAATAATAAAGAATGCAACTGATCACATCCAAACAGCAATAGAAAGCATTTTCCCTCCAAATAACACCCTGATGACTTATCATGTAAACAGATCCACATCTTTGTATTTACATGATGAGATATATATCTGTGTAACTTCTTCAAACCCTTTCTGATCTCTGAGTTGCTCCAATTCTACCTTTTTGTGTATCCCTAACTTTCTTAGCTTCACCTTTGATAGCAATGTCTTTAGTGCCTGGGGTCCTAAGCTCTGGAATTCCCTCTCTCCTCCTTTCACCTTTTTAAAGATGCTTCTTAAAACTTTTTGACTGAATCTTTGGCTACCTGTTTGAATATGTAGGTACATGGTTTAGTGTCATATTTTGTCTGATTCTGTCACTCAAGTGCATTAATGTTCTACCTAAAAGATGCTTTATAAATGTAAGTTGGTGCTGTGTGTTGTTACATAATATAGAAAGAACAGAACTTTTTAAAATTTAATTAAAAATAAGTATCCCACTATATGATAGATAACTCAAAACACAACATTGCATTATGAATTTCTCTAGCAGCCTGGAACATTCAGGAGAGGCCCTGCCCAACTCAAGTGGGGTTCTCAATGAGTGTTGAGCCATTTTGTAATCTGCTTCCTCACTCAGAGTGTCTGCTGTTCCAATGGACTCTCTCTTATCATTATTTCCACAACTCAAAGACACAGAAAACAAAAACAGGATTTAATTCAGGATTTGCAAAATTGTAAAGAATATCAAAGTGAATTAGGGAATGACAATTCCCTCTTGTTGGGAAGTTCATAGCAATCGCTTATCAATTCCTAAACATCAGTAAGAAATCAAAAGAAGAGTTAAGCAGAGGGTCCTTGGAGCATGGGATACTTTACCACAGAGTGGTTGAGGAAGAAACCATTGCCTCTTGGAGTGAAAGTTGGATAAATATATGAAACAAATAATCAGAATGTGCAGGGAGCACACAACATTGGGATTAATTTTTGATTTTTGTAGCAAAGTGTAACTTGGGGAAGTTGGAGTCAGTGATATCCTGCAGTGTTACAAAATTTTGTGATTTCAAAAAATTAAATCATGTCCCTTGACATGTAGTCATTTCGCTGGAGTCTGTGCTGCTTCACAGTTGCCCCAGGCAAGGGAGAGTAGACATCACAAAAATATTTTCAGTGTCAAAGAATCTTAGAGATTCCATCACTTGAATTACAGGACAGGTGATCCCAGAGCTATGTCCATACAATTACTCTCTCCTAGTAAAATACTGAGGATGCCAGAAATCTGAAATAAAAACAGAAAATGCTGGAGAAAATCAACAGGTCTGGCAGCATCTGTAGAGAGAGGAGCAGAGTTAAATGTTTCAAGTCTGGTATAATTTCTTCAGAACTAGGGTAAGTCAATACAATTACTCCCTCCCATACAGTATTGACTGAACTTCATTTGCTTTGAACATTTTCTTACCAGTTAATCCTGTGATGGGACAATGGGTCCCTCCAATCGAAACCCACGTGGTATCAGTCGTCGAACTGTTGGCAAATCTGAAGCCTCTTATGGTTAGAACAGTCCCACCGGTCCTGGATCCTGATAAAGCAAACGATAGTTTCAATGAGATTTCAGCCATGGTCTCAGTTAGGCACAGAGCCAGGAGGAGCCTGAGGACAGGGTAAGTCGGCTGCATGATGGCCTCACAAAATGAAAAGTGAGATGATCCCCTCGAAGCAGAGGTCTAGGCATTCACTCAAACCAGTCAACCTCATCCAGTATCTTTGTAATCTGTTCCAACGCTGCAGAGCAGCAGAGGTCACTGGGCAGACTGTATCCTCAGCAACTTTTAACATGATAGATCATTTCAAGAGAGAGAGAATACATCGTAAATAGAATGAAAAAAGAGCAAATAGATTGTTAACTGTAATCCTGAGAAGACTGAAACACAAGGAGGCGAAAGTTATGCTTTATTTGTATAAGAACATCCTTGTGCACCAGTCACTGGAAGTAAGCATGCAGGTAGAGCAGGCAGTGAAGAGGACAAATGATATGTTGGCCTTCAAAGCAATAGGAAACATGTACAGGAGCAGGGATGTCTCGCTGTAATTGTACAGGGCCTTATGAGGCCATATTTGGTGTATTGTGTGCAGGTTCAGTCTGAGGAAGGACCTTCTGGCTATGAAGGAAGTGCAATGAAGGTTTCTAAGGTTTTGGAGTAGATCTGTAGCTCGGGTTGTGGGTGTTGTGATTGGTTGGCTCGCCGAGCTGGTTTGTTGTTCCACAGACGTTTCATTACCGTGCTGGGTAACACATCAGTGCAGCCTCCGATAAAGCGCTGTTGTGTTTTCCCACCCTGGTTTTTAAATTCTGAGTCCATTGAGCTGGGTTACCTCACTTCTGGTTTTCCTTCGCAGTGGAGTATATATATACCCGAAAAACTGGGTCAGAAGATGTCTATTACACAAGCGACAACAGGAAGATACTGCACGCCCTAACACACTCATCACGTTACCGTACATCAAGAACTGAACATCTGAACTGACCACATGACTCCTATGACCATTGGGCATCAGAGTAGCACACAAACCCACATCAACCCTATGCCAACTGCTCACCGAACCAAAGATCCGTTCCCATTATGGACAGGACCAATGTCATATACAAGTTCCCCTCCAAAGACTGTGACAAACATTACGTTGGACAAACAGGAAGGAAATTAGTCACAAGAGTACACGAACATCAACTAGCAACAAAAAGACACGACCAATACTCACTCATGTCCATGCACATGGATAAGGAAAACAACCAGTTCGATTGGGAAAACACCAGGATCCTGGGACAGGTGAAGCAGAGACAAGCACAGGAATTCCTAGAAGCCTGGTTCTCCACTAAGAAAGCCATCAATAAACATAGAGCTAGACTCCATATATACTCCACTGCGAAGCAAAACCAGAAGTGACATAATCCAACTCAACAACCCCAGAATTTAAAAACCAGGCGGGAAAACACAACAGCGCTTCATCGGAGGCTGCACTGATGATGTTACCCAGCAGGGTAATGAAAAGTCTGCTGAACAACGAACCAGCTCGGCGAGCCAACCAACTGCAACGAAGATTTACCAGACTGATTCCTTGGAGGGCAGGACTGATTCATGAAGAGAGGCTGGATTGGTTAGGGATGTATGTGCTGGAATTTAGGAAAATGAGGGAAGATGTTATAGAAACCTACAAAATTCTAACAGAACTAGACAAGGTAAATACAGGAAAGATGTTCATGATAACCCAGGAGTCCAGAACCAGGGGTCACAGGATATGAAGGATATGAGGTAGACCATTCAGGACTGAGATGGGGAGAAATTTATTCAACCAGAGAATGGTGAGTTTGTGGAACTGTCTGCCATAAAAAGCAGTTGAAGCCAAAACATTGAGTGATTTCACAAAGAAATCAGATACAGTTCTTAGGGCTAAAGGGATCAAAGGGCATTGGGAGAAACCGGGAAACAGGGTAGTAGATTGGAAGATCACCACGATCACATTGAAGGGCAAAGCAGATTCAAAGGACTGAGTACCCTACTCCTGCTCCTATTTTCTATGGTTCTATGTCTGGTCAGACCAACCTACAATGACAATGTTCAATTCTGGGCACTGCACCTCAAGAAGTACACAGTGAATTTGGAATGGGTACAACAAAGATTCACCAGAATGACAGTGTGGTTAAAAAGGTTAAATGATTAGGACAGATTACATTGACTAGGCTTGTATTCTTTCAAGTTTAGGAGATTAAATGATGGTCTAATTGAGAGCTTTAAGATGATCAAGAAATTAGATAGATAGATAGAGAGAGAGAGAGACAGAGAGAGAACTTATTTTCTCAGGTATGGGATATACAGAATAAGCTGGTACAGAATAAAATTGGAGCCAGGCTGTTCAAGGCTGATGTTAGGAATTGTTTCTTCACAGAAAGGATAGCAGAAATCTGGAACTCACTCCCCACTAAAGCTGTTGAGGCTATGAGGAGAAAATGTTAAAACTGAGGTTGATAGAATTTTGTGCAGTAAATAGATTAAGGAAGGTAAATAGTGCTAGGATAAAGATGAGCCAGACTCTCACTGAATGACAGAACACACTCAAGGGGCTGACTGGCCTTACCATGTTCCAATTTTCCTACAATGATATTAGTGGTAATTATCAGTCTCATTGTTTCAAACACTGTTTTAAAAGTCTGCTGTGAATGATTTGAGGCACTTTCACAGATTCATTAGATTTAAATGGATGAAATGGTTTAGAAACCTACCTGAATTTCTAGCATTTACCTGTTGTTGGGGTAATGTGTGAAATGGCAGGGGTTTTCTCAGCATTCCATTCATATCCACAATTCCCGGAACAGTTACTGGGAATACCATTGATGAAAACCTCTACCTGTGAGGAAGATAAGGGATCATGTTGCTGCAGATTGGCTCAGTTTCCATGGAGCATTCTCCTTACAGATTTAGGTTATGCTTCTGGTGTGAAGCTCCAACTGCTGCACTGTTTATTAAAAAGAACACACTTTGTGGGAATGATGGAAGTTAGCCTGATCCCAGCTGTGGTTCAGTGATCTTAAATGTGATTAGCAACTGGACCTGATCCAACAGGGCCCAAAAATAGCTAGCACTGGCCTCCTGCTCAGGCAAAAATGATTGTCCAATCACATCATTACCACCTGGACTACAACCTTGGGGTGAGGGTTCTTGGTGTCCAGATATTAAAGTTTCAGCCAATCAGACCAAGGCAGGAACGAGGTGTGTAAACCCCCTGCTCCCCCAGGCACACCACATCCCCACCATCCACCTCTCAACTCACCCTGAATCATCCCATCAGGCCAGGGAAAGGAGGGCAAACATTTCAAATCGATCCCATTTTGAGGACTTAAGTATTCCCCTTTGACTGAATAACTGACCTTTTGCTGTGTCGTGTAACCTATGTTTTTTGTATAATTAAATGGCCCTGTCATTTGCCAGCAATTTAAAGAAATCAGACTGCTCATAGTCTGTTGGCAAAATATTAAGTATTTATGAGTACGTGCAGATGTATACAGGTGTGTGCAGGTGTATGTGGGTGTATGCAGGTAAGTGCAGATGTAAACAGGTGTGTCTAGATGTATGCGCATGTGTGCAGTGTGTTTAGATGCATGTAGGTGTGTCTAAGTGTGACAAAGTGTATGCAGATGTGGCTAGGTATATACAGGTGTGTGCAGATACATACAGGTGTATCTAATTGTTTGCAGATGTGTCTAGGTGTTTGAATGTATGCAGGTGTATCTAAGTTAGTCAAGGTGTATGCAGATATATAGAAGTGCATATATCTAGGTGCATGCAGGTGTGTCTAGGTATGCAGGTGTGTCTGGGTGTTTCTAGATGTATGCAGGGGGTCTAAGCGTATGCAGGTATGTACAGATGTATGCAGTGTGTCTAGGTGCATGCAGGTGTGTGTAAATGTACAATAGTGTCTAGGTGTGAGCAGGTGTTTGCAGATGTATACAGGTGTGTCCAGGTGTTCATCTAAATGTATCCAAGTGTATGTAAGAGTGTGTATGTTCGGGTGTGTCTAGGAGTGTCTAAGTGCATGTAGATATATATAGATGTATAAAAGTGTGTGTGTGTGTGTGTGTGTGTGTGTGTGTGTGTGTAAATGTGTGCAAGTGATTCTAAGTGTGTGTAGGTGTATACAGGTATGCATAAGTTTGTGAAAGTGTGCCCAGGTGTGTACAGGTCTGTAGATGCGTTCCAGGTGTGAGTAGGTGCTTTAAAGTGTGTAAGATGTGTGCAAGAAATTCCAGGCAATCTAGGTATGTACAGGTGCATGTGTTGCATGCTGAAGTATGAATAGGAATGAATAGATGTGTAGAGGTATGCACAGGTCTGTGTGAATCTGTACAGTGTTGCTAGGTATGTACACGTGTGTAGATGTAATCTTTAGTCTTTAAAATGCTAAATGAGAAGAGACCAAAACAAGGAGTGGAGGTAGCCCTGATATTGGAATTGGGTCTTTCATGGGAGATGTTAAGAAATACATTCTCACATAAAGGGTGGTGGAAATCTAGAACTCTCTTCCCCAAAAATTCTGTGGATGGCTGGGGCTCAGCCGGAACTTTCAAGAATGAGGTTGAGAGATTTTTGTGGAAGGGTTATAGAGCTAAGGTGTGTAAATTAAACTGAAGAGCAGATCAGCAATGGGGTAGTAATCCTGAGGAGCTGAGTACCCCTTCCTGTTCTTCTGTGTGTAAGCACATGTAACTCACAGATACATTTAAGGCAGAGTTGCATGTACATACCTGAGGCTGTGTGTGTGGTGTCCGGAACAGATCACCCATCAGATGTTCACTAAACAGCCCTCCTCGCTGCTTATTGTAAACATTTACTGTTGCATTGACTCCAATGACATTCACATCATTAATCTGTTTAACACAGAACAAAAACACATTTTAATTTGTGATATTTTGCAGCACCAAATTCACATTTTCCTCATACTTAAGTTTACTCCCGACATCCCACAAATAATTATTATTTACGGCTTTGTTTTATTAAGTCATTCTCAGGATGAGGGTAACACTGGCTAGGACAGCAGTCGATGCTCATACATAATTGAAATGAAATGGTGGTGATCTGCCTTCTTGAACCACTACAGTCTTTGGAGTGTAGGGACAATGCTGTGAGGAAGGGAGTCCCAGGCCTTTGACCCAGGGATGCTGAAGAAATTCTGATTATAGCTCCAAGTCAGGACTGAGTGTGTCTTGGACGGAAACTTACAGGTGGTAATATTCCCTTGCAACTTAAAGAACTTCCCTTGATCTTCTAGTTGGTCAAGGTCCTGGGTTTGGAAGGTGTGGCTCAAACATTTTTCTTAAACCACTAACAGATTCAGGATTGAAGCGAGACAGAATGAAACCCCAACTGTTGATGTAGAAGTAAGAAGATGTTTGGCAGAGGGAGTAGAATATTCTATTTCAGCTTTTGCTTCTTCTGTCAAGCCAACAAGATTAACCGCCAAGTTGAAATATGTTGGGATTTAAATCTAGGGGATTGCTTCTTATGCCAGAAGGTCTGTGCCTCACCTTTAATTTGGGCTGATTGCCAGGCTTGCTGAGCCATTTCACTGTCCACTGGGCAGCAGAACAGTTGCCTGAATTCATCACAGAAACTGTCCCAATCTCAGGGATGGTTTGTAAGGCGTACTGCATTTCCAAGGCCGTAACATTAACTGGCAAATCTTCAAAGATAAAATGTTAGGAAAAATTACAGAAAAAGTCAAAATATCAATGAGCTTTGATGATAATGTAATTGAATAATACAGTCCAGAAGGAGGCCATTCAGCCTGTTATTTCTAGGTGAGATTTTCTTGAAAGAACCATTCAAGTTTTCCTACTCATCCAACTTTCCCACACACAACTTTTCAAACTTTCCCCCCTTTAAGTATTTATTCAATTCCCTCTTAAGAGTTACTATTGAATTTGATCCCACCGGACCTTCAGGTTTTTCTATATAATATCCAGTTAACAACTCAGTGCATGAAAACTCTCTTCATCTCACCTTCTGATTCTTTTGCCAAAAAGCTGCCCCCTCTGTTTACAAACCCTCCTGCCACCTGTGCTGTAACCTACTTATTGAAGACAGGTAATCTCAGGGGAGGAGCTGGGAAAGATTTGGCAGGAAGAGAGGCTCAGTCACTATATGGCATAATCATGAAAACTGGTATTCTGAGTGGGGACTGTCCTTCAGACTCGTGTGTAAGAGCTAACTGCAATCTGCCTGAATAATGTACTCAAATCTTTGGAGTGGGATTTGAACTCATAACCTTCTCAGAAGTGACAGTGCTACTTGCTAAGTTGTGGCTGATATAGATATGTAGAGAACAGGTCAGTAAGAAGAAAACTCACATATGAAAGTTTCATTGAACTGAGCTGCAGAAAGCCAACAGAAATGTTTAAATCCTGTTAGCTTCTCTGAATCAAGGGTGTGTTTAAATCATCTGGATCCACTGACAATTTATTAACCCAAAATCTAAATACAAGTATTACAAGACTTTTAATTAAAAGACTTACAATTACACAGCCCCTGAACGCAAATAAAGCAGGCTACTTATTTATAGGATACATTCCCCACTGTAACCAGCTAATTGATCACATAGGTCACTGTGCCCTGATTTCCAGAGATTAATTGTCACGACTGGAAAAATCTCAAACATTCCTGTACTTTGAGAATCCTCACAGAGATTTCTTTGAATGAAAAAAGTTCCAGCAAGCAAACGATTGTAAGGAAGTTTCCAAAAAATATCCCCTCACAGTTTCAGCATTCACTGCTTACCTTTCAAAGTTTTCCCAAAGTACTCAATATCCAAGGTACCAGAAATTGGAGAAGATGCTGCTTGTGTTCTCCAAACTCTTAAAATAGACCCGTCAGGCCAAGTGCTTCCTCTGTAAACTATCTCATCCTTTGTGCTATTAGGCAAAGGCTGAAAGAGCATCCATCACAAACATTATCATTCCAAAAAAGGTATTTTATTCACATTTCCAGCTGACTCTTTCCAACTTCCCACTGTAAACCCAATGGAATATTGGCAGGAACATCTCACAGAAACTAAAGTTCATCAAAACAGCATCAATAAAATCCCTTTCTTCTACAAACTACAAGTTCAATAGAAAATAAATTAATGGATGTGTAGCTTGAGGTGATTTATGAGGGACCATTAGTCGTATCTATCCCTACTAAACGTGTCTCTGCCATACTGTAGTCAGTTTCTACCTCCCTACAGGGTGGACAAAGAATGATTAGAGAGAGTTCAGTGAGGTCTCAAAGTGAATTTCTGAGTTTATGAGGTTAAGAAGTTTGGGTCACGGGGAAAGATTGTCTATTCTGGAACATTAATCTTTGGAGAAGAGCAGAGTAAGAGACGGGTGTGGAGTTGAGAAATGACAGGAATCTGGATTGAGAGATTTTGAGAATTAATGAGCATGGGGAATTTGGATGTAGTCAGACTAAATTTAAGAACCAGGAGTTCAGCGTTATTGGTTCCATCAGAAATAGGAAATGTATAATCTACATGTAATAAGAAAGGGAAACATTCAAGGAACAGATTACCAGCAGGAGAACAGAAATACATGGCAGGTATCAAAGAGAATGGGAAAGATTTGAGTGAAAAATTTTAAGGAAATATTAAGAATTACAGGAACTGTTACACGGTTTGGCAGTGTAGGCTAGATGTTGCTTGAAGCCGGGCCAAACATAGATAGGAGGGACAACATCTACTATGGTAAAGTTGATGTAGTCCCAGAGGATCATAGTGCTTCTCTCTTAGCAGAGAGAGAAAGAGAGAGAGATATGACAGGTAGTGGTTTAACCTGAGGATTACTACACCTCAGGTGAAGGGTGAGATTGAAAAGGACGGACCCTCATAATAACCTTAGCCAGTGCAAGAATTGAACACACACTTTTGGCAGCACTCTGCATCACAAACCAACCACCTAGTTAACTGATTGCTTTCTGAAAAGAATGTACATTGATAAAATATTGTCTCAATCAACATAAACTGATTCCTCTTTCAAATGTTACCCGAATACCACATTATACCGACCTGAGCAAAGGCAATCTCTAGCATTGGAATGTTGCAGCTACAGTCGATAGTAACCATAGTTACTTCATACTGACTGTGCACACCAGCATTTTTAGTTCCTCCTTCAGTAACTATGATGTCCTCAATAAGAATTCCTTTGTCAAACAATGGAGGGTAAGCTATCATTGGTATATCTGCAAATTAAACACGTCATTCACCAACTTAAAGCAAAATGTTACAAACAATTTATATTTTACACAACCTCCAAAAAATCCCCTGAAATATACTTTAGATGTGAAATACTTGAAATAATTTATCACATTGAAAATGGCTAAGAAAACTCTTGTGTTGTGAGGGAGGTCACGGGACCTGAAATGTTAACTCTGATTTCTCTCCACAGATGCTGCCAGACCTGCAATTTCTGTCTTTTTTTTAAGAAAACTCTTGAAGTGCCTAACAAAAGGATAATCTGCAAGGGAATCATCGGGAATGGCAAAAAGGCAGGAAAATGGAATTGAGGATTATCAAATCAGCCACGATCGTATTGAATGGTAGAGCAGACTTGAGGGTTGAATGACCTACTTTTCTCCCACATCGTACAGTATTATGAGCTTTTAGGAATCCTGCACCAGCTCCTTATACCATAGACTCAGGTGACATAATGGCAACATCACTACAGTGGTAGTCCAGCACTCCAGGCTTTTGTTTTTGGAGTGCATTGGTTTGAATCTGGGTTCAACCACATGGTGAATCCGGAATAAAAAGCTAACCATTTTTGATTGTTGTAAAAATCCATCTGGCTCAAGAATGTCCTGCTGTCCTTAGCTGGTATGACCTATATGTGACTCCAAATGCACAGTAATATAGTTGACTCTTAAATGTTCTCTGGGCAAATTGGGTTGGATGATAAATACTGGCTTAGCCAGTGATGCTACATTCCATGAAGAAAGAAAAAGTCACCAGGAATAAAAAAAAAATAATACATACCTCTGCACTTGTGGAACCAAAGTAAGAGAAGTCCATTTGACCTCTCATGACTATTCTGTCATTTTGAAAGACCATAGCTGATCTGTTCCTCAATTTCTTTTAGCCACTTCCAATCCATTTTCTGAGATACTTAGGTGACAAAAGTGCATAATTTCTCCACCTTACATGATGGTCAAAGGGAGCATCAGATACAAAACAGTGAGTTGAACAAGTTCAGGGTCCATGTTATTTCTGAACAGCTGTACACAACAAAGAGGTCTCTGTGGATTTAATCTTCTTTTTTCTTGCATTATGATTGTTTCTGCTTGTGGCGGCTTAGTGTTGGTTTAGGTACTGCTAAGCTCCACAAAACAGATTTGAATCTACATGAATTACTATTTTATCACAAACACACTAATCAAATTCTGGTCAGCTCCTCACTCAGTTTGCAATACAAAATAAAAAAAATACCATCTTGATTCTTCAATGTAGCCTTCTGTCCAATGTACACAGTGTCCACAAAGAAATCCTGGGCTCTTGCTGTCCGTAGATAAATTCCCTTCAATAAAAAGTTTCTTCCTCTGGGAAATCTGGTTATAATAAGTTAATACAAATTGATGCAGGTGTAGGTCCATCTGGAGTCAAGAGATGCTCAGTTAAGGTTCTGTGTAGTCCAGCACATCAAGCCTTAACAAATATCCTTAATTTAATCCCTAATTAAATTAGAAAGACATAATCATTTAACGTTCTACCAGTTTTATACAAAATGTCTATATTAGGCGTAAAATGAGGCCATTCAGCCCTTAAAGCCTGGTCTGTCATTCAATAAGATCACGGTTGATCTGTTTTGTTCTGAATTCCATCCATCCTTGATAACTTTTGATTTCCTTCCCTAACAAGAATCTACCCCACTTTGCTCTAAAAATATTCAATGAACCTGCTTCCACTGCGTTCCGAGGCAGGGAGTTCCAAAGTTGCACAACAATCAGAAAAAAGAAATTGCCATCATTTCTGTCTACAATTGCAATCCCCAATTCTAAAACAGGTTCCCTTAGTTCTGAACTCACCAACAAGAGGAAAAGTCCTTTCCACATCTACCTTGTCAAGACCATTTAGGATCTTATACACTTCAATCAAATGCCCCTTGGTCTTCTGAACGCAGCTGCAAACAAACAAAGTCTGTCCAACTTTTCCTCATTAGACAACCTGCTCATTCTGAATATCAATCCAGTCAACCTCCACAAAACTGCCTATCCTTCCTTAAATAAGGAGAGCACGACTGCACACGCATTTAAGATGTGGTTTCACGAATGCATTGCATAGCTGAAGCATAACCTTCTTATTTTTATTTTCAATTCCTCTCATAATAAAGAATAAGATCCCATTAGTCTTCCTGATTACTTGCTGGTGAAAAGCTGAAAAGCTATTTTGAAGTGATGTGAAGGAGGATCCTGAAGAAGGAACATGCAAACTTTCTATCGGCCAGCTGCATTGGATCACGTGGAATCTTGACATGGTTGTATGTTTTATAATTCAGAGATGACATCAGCTTCCATATGTGTAACAGGTTCTACTTAGAATCCTCTGTAATGTGTACACCATCCTTCAGCTCCAGCTTCTATCTCTTTTCACAGCTTGGTGTGCTTTACTTTGAACCCATCTGAAGGCTTAACTAATCAAACTCAGTGAATAGCAATAGTAAAAAGATTCACATAATCAAACATGGAACAATTGAACACTATAATTGGTGGCTCCACTAATGCCCTTATATCCAATACTAAAAATCTTGCACTTCTAATTTAAGCTTTATCATTAACGGTATTACATTCATTCCTAACCTTGCTGATATAGTTTATACAAAGCAAAGCAAAAATAACTGAATGTGCAAACAGGCATGTTCCATGTGCTTGAAATCCCAGATGGTGATTGATTCTTCTTCCACCCTTTCTCCACCCATGTCCTAAAAGTAGCGCCCCCATTGATAGCTCAAACAATAAATTTTCTGAGGTCATTAATCGGTAAAATTCTCTCCTTCTTGAGGAGCATAGGTTTATTTAGGATCAAACTTCTCTCATACAATTGATCAACACTGTAGTTATATACATTTCATGACCTTAAAATGTTTGAGAGTACTTACAGATAGTGAAGGATTTTTGTGGGGTGTTAAAATGAAGGAAAAGTAGCAGCAAATTTATGCACAACAATTTCCTCCAAACAGCAAAGAAATAAGTAACCAGATAATCTGGTTTAATGATTGAGGAATAAGTATTGATCAGGGTACCAGGAGAATTACTTTGATTAGTGTGACGGGAAGTTTTCGTGTCCAGCAATGAGAGCAGACAAGGCTCAGTTTCACATCACATTAAGACAACATCTCTGATAGTGCAGCACTGCTCCCAGAATTTCACTGTAAGTTTCAGTCTGGGCTATGGGCTCAAGTCTCTGGTGTGGATCTTGAATTTACAAACATACGGTTGAGATCTTCTGAAGAGAAGACTGTCATTGCTAAAGTGTAGACCAGAATTGTGCACTGGGGCCATGTAGCGGTCCTGATACAACTGATTCCATGGGAGTTGCTCAGGAATTGGAAACTTTTCTGAGAATCTGGCTGGTGTCTGGAACTCTCAGAATTAATCCTGAATAGTGTCAAAATGGTTGGAGGATTCTGACCCATTTATCGGAATATTTACCAAAGAAACATTAGAGGAATTAAAATCAGCTCTAACTCTTCAATAACTTTAAAACTAAATGCCCTCAACTCATCATGGAGCCAACCACCATCGTCCCGGCACTTTCACATCCCCCCAAATACTCCCTCACCTCATGCCCTCTCCCAACTTGAAAGAGCCCCAGCACTCTCCCAACTCTAAATCCCACAACATTTATGAAATGGGTAAATCTGGTCGGTGAAGAAATATGTGGTCAGAGTATAACGTAGGGTCATCAGGGTAATTCCAGGGATTGGGGAGCTTCAGGTATGCGGACAGTTTAGAGGCGCTGGGAATGTTTTGGGAAAAGAAGGCCAGTGGGAGGTTGGCTGACATATCACGAGAAGCCTGGACAGAGTAGACAGGGAAATAGCTATAGCTAATAGTTGAAGGAAAGAGAAATAGAGGGCACAGATTTAAGTTGGTAAGCAAATGAGGCATCAATGATTTGAAGATAAAGGTATTCATGCATTAAGTGGTTATGGATTGGAATGCACTGCCTAGCAGTCTGATGGAAATGGATTCACTCATGGCTTTTAAGAGAACTGGTCTGATGAGAAAGCATCTGCACAATCATGGGGACAATGTGGGGGAGTGGCATCATATGGTTCTTACAGGGACTCAGCCACATAATGACTCTAAATTCAAATTAAATAATATTAAAGCAACAGTGCTTACTGATTATCTTGAGCAAAACTGTACTGGAACCAAAGATTCTTTGCATTTGATTCACCATCAATCTTGTAAGTGAATGATAGACGAAGATTATTTCTCAAATGGCCTTTATATGCAAAACAAAGCTGAACACATGGTTAAAGTGACATTAGTATACTTTATTTATTATTTGTATATCAAATCCAAGAGTAACAAATAACAACAAGTATAAGCAACAACTACTAGCAAGCCATCATTGTACATATTCTGTAACGTTGGCCCACACATTGTGTAGAATAAATATACAATAATTCATCACAAGAATATACTTCAATCAAGACTCATGTTAACTATCATTAAAATCATGCAAAGGAAATTAAATGTGCCATCACCTAACTAGAGTTAACATTTCCTCCTTAGGTTCAATCTGAACTTAAAATATGAAAGCACTCTCAATGTTGCATTGATATGTTACTTTTTCCGATGTGAAGTTATGTCTAAGTAGCCTCTCAACCTTATTTGAATACACACAACTTTAAAATGGCTGTAAGTTAGTGTAAACAATCAAGGCCAAGAAAAGCGTTCTACCTGCAATTGATTTTTAGGAGTGAAAATCAATGTGCTAGTTCACTCAACAATCAGTTTTGCAAGTGGTAAATTTCTATCCTTGCCACTTTACACTTTTCTCCCATCCTGACTGAAGTTCACAAAACATAGAACATAGAACATAGAACATAGAACATAGAACATTACAGCACAGT